AATCAACGGTCACGACGCGACGGACGACAACTACACGCTCCCTTCGATCGCTGGGACAGCGATGGAGGAACCTGCGTCAGGATGGTTCTTATTCTGGGCCTCAAGAACTCCCGCGGATATGCAGACGTGGCGTCGGTTCACGAATGATGCCCTCGCTCACTTCGAAGCCTCCAACTATCAAGCGGTGTTACGACAGAAGCTACGTGAGCTCCGTCAGGGCAATGACATCGAAGAGTACAATAGGAAGTAGCCGTCATTGATCTTCCGCGTTGAGGACATGAGCGAAGTCGACCAAGTCAGCTACTATTGTGACGGTCTCAAGCGTGCGACTCAAGCCTATGTTAAGCTTCAAAACGCGACGATGCTGAGTGAGGCGATGGACCATGCTGCGAAGTATGAGATGTCTCATTTCGGTGGCGAGCGCAACCCGACCCGCGAGAAGCCGGAACGTGAGCAACAGTCCCGCGGACGAGCAAGCTCTAACCAGTCCAACAACAAGAAGCCGTTCAGCAAGAAGTCCTTCAAGCCCGGTCACTACGCTCCCGCAGAACAAGCCAAGGAAGGACCCGTGTGCTACTATTGCAAAAAGCCAGGGCACTTCAAGCGTGATTGCAAGAAGCTGAAGAGTGACGAGGGAAACGAACAGCCACGCCAGTAGAAGAGGGACCTGACGTGGCGAAGGCTAGCGAAGAAGATTTAATCGTAAACGAGGATACGTTGAATCTGCTTTGCGAAGACCCTCTCGTCTACACTCGTGCGCCATTGTTTTCGATTGAAGGATCAATAGTACAGGGTGTAAACAATTTCGGTGCCAAGATCCTGTTGGATTGTGGTACCACAACCGTATACGTGTCTCGTGGATTCGTCAAGAAGCACGAGCAGAAGGCACACGCTTACACCGACCGGACTATCAAGGTGAAGCTCGGCGACAACAAGATCGGCGAATCTATCCTGGAGTTGGTGAAGATCGAGATTCTACTCCAAGATGTCCCACATTACCAGTGCCAGTGTAACAAACTGGCCCCTTGTCGGAGGGAGAGGAGAACGAAGAGAGTCTTGGGGCAGGCGGGGAGAAAGCAAAGTGTGCTGGTCTCCCCGACCAACTGCCCTCAACCAAACAGTTGGTTGAGAGAGCCCTGTATTATTTAATATCAATCTCTAAAGTGATATATCTCTATCTCGATACTATCGGTTATTCGATACATTTAGCCATCACGCATAAAAAGAAATGACAGTACAGCGTAGTACTACAGTAGTACTAGTATAGTACTAGCATGTAAATGAAGCCTCTTCTCAACACGAAAACTAAAAACAAAGGGACAGAAGATCATCAACAACACATAGTTTCAAAGCCATACCACAAACCAAATAATTTAGAGTTGGCAAGCAAACGAGCCGCTGCCACCCTCGAAGGAAAAAACTATGAGGGAAAGAGAATAATCAAATTAAATTATGTTGTACTAAAACAACGTCAACCGGGAGACATAATTCAAACTGCTTTTTAGCAAGTCAATTATGAAAATAAAACATGAAATGAGAGCAAATTTCATCAGTCCTGTGAAACTGGGAAGCTAGTGAACCGATATACTGCAAATATCAAAAGGCAAACAACCTTAACCCTTTCTTGCGCCTCTTTCATAAACTACAGTATACAAGTATAATTCATTGTAAGCTTTTGATCGGTGTCGCCGTCAAACTAAAAGTAGAAGTGAGTTCATTTCTTTGTTGTTAGAAAAGAACTAAAAATATGCAAATTGCGGGATTGGTCGGTGGTTACACAACCTCTTCGTTCGAGGTAAAAACACCGACCAGAAGTGCTGTAGTTGCTGGGCACAATCCCAGCAGCTTACTGTACTTGTAGCAACGGCTACAACAATTCCCCCTCCGAAAGACATCGTTTTCTCCTGCAGCCATTACCTTACCTGTGAGACGATTGCTGGCAACGTTAAGTCGATTACTTGATGTTCAGAGCCTTTCGCAGCGCCTTGACTGGCGCAAGTTTACCTTGTTTGCGGACAAATGCCTTAACAGCGCTCCCACAAGTCCTCTAGAGCATCTAGCCCCCGCCAGTGCACCTTAATCTCGTGGCATTTTTCGTTCTTATTGTAGCGTGCCTTGAGTAGGCTCTCCACGATATGTCCCTCACTGTTGTGCGCAATATGCTGAAGAGGGTCCTCATTGACGTTAAAAGAGCTGTCTGCGTAAAATTTTAATCGACTAGCATGGGCCTCTTTGCGCTGTCCTGTTACCAAGTTTTGAATCTCAAAAACCCAGTTGGATACCGTACCAACTACTTGTGCAGGTCCGCACCACTTCACACAAAGCTTGCTGCGTGTATGCTGCCACACATCTGCATATAACACAAAGCCCCCGATGTCAAATTGCGCCTTCGTTGTTCCCTTCTTTTTGTTCCGTGCATCTCTACCCGTAGCGCGAACAGCGTTATTCACTTGACTTGCGCGTCGGTGGATATCTACTAGTGCTTGTTGCACTCTCTCCACATTTTGCCGCTGTGATGTCTGAATAGCGTCCAACGTGACCGATGCTGTCGGTCCTGGTATAAAAATTGTATCACCGGGGCGCATGGCTGGAATCCCTGTCATTGTAGTGACAGAAGAGCCACTTCACGCAGCGACGGGGACAGAGTATGATTGAGCACCTTCTGCATGATCTTCACTACTCTAGGCCATTCCCGAGGTTGCAATTTCCATTCCGAAAGGAGAACCCTGCAGCAGCGCAGCGTCTCTCTCATCGCCACTTCTACAGTTTCATTTGCCCATGGGCATCGAGCCGTGGTGAAGTGCCCCTAACGCATGCTGGAGCGCCTCAATGGTCTTATTTTTAAAGTGCGTGCCCTGGTCACTGACCCAGGTGCGGCACACACCGAAACAGGAAAACCAGTCCGTTAAACAGTGAAAAGTAGTCTCGGCATCCGCTGCTTCACATGGCAGCAGCCACACAAACTTTGACGCGTCGTCCTTAATGACTAACACGTACGTTTCACCGGTTGTACTGCTTCCCATGTACAAGTAGTCCCAGTGAATCAACTCGTTGGGCCGCTCTGCGTGCATCGCTTCTCCCAGAAGACGAGGTTGGGGCGGTCCACCCAGAGTACTTGCACAATGTAGGCATCGACGAACAAAAAACGCAATGTCTTTCTCGATGTCTTTTCAGACAAAGTCAGCAGTCTCCCTTTCCACTGTAGTTGCAGCGCCACGGTGACCTGCTACGCCAAAATGACCCACGACGCAGATACGTACTTGTAGTTCCACCGCTTCGTCTGGGATCCAAACTCTCCCTTTATCATCTGTCCACAATGCATTCGTCTCTGAGCGAACCAAGTCGCTTGGTCGTGGTGCTGCATCTTGTGCAGTAGCAATGCATACCTGCGTCGGCCAGACAAAGGTGTCATCGAGTTGCGGAGAAAGCGGCAAGTCAACTTGTCGAATGGCGCACACTGTTTTAAGAGACGAACCCCATCTAGAAAGCAGGTCGGCCCAGACATTTTCCTCTCCAGAGATGTCGTGGATGTCGTACTTGTACGCCATCAATAACATCGACCAGTGGTGCAGCTTATTCGTGCAACAGACTTAGAAACGCTATGTGGATCCAATATGTACCGCAGGTTCCTGTGGTCTGAAACAAGGCGAATTCGTCCGGGCAATGCAGTAGATAGTCCGCACGACGGCAAGTTTCAATGATAGCATACACTTCTTTCTCCACAATGGCCCACCGCTTTGCAGAGCCTGAGAAGGTTCCGCTCAACATCAGTAATGGCTCGAGATCTTGTTCACTAAGTGGTCTGCTAGCCATCTCGGGAGAAATCTGGGTTATTGCGGCGCCCCAATGTTCATCACTTGCGTCAATATAAACTGAAAGACGTCTTTCGGGGTTCGGGAGTGCTAGCTGAAGCGCATTTTTTTAGTGCTTCTTTGCACCGCTCAAGAGAATCGGCTTCTGCACATCCCCAACCGGCCTCACTGAGCTGAATCTTCCTTACTTGGTTCTTCTTACGCCCTCCTGCCTCGCCATATACTTTCTCCATCAACTGTGACAGAGGGGCCACCAATTTATTGTATGCTGGAATTGCAGTGCGCATCCAATTAAGCACACAGATGAACTGTTGTAAATCCTGACCAGTAGTAGGGGGTGGAAGGTTCGCCAGCGCAGCAAGTCGTGCTGGGTCATGTCGTACTCCATCACCGGACACAATACGTCCACACCAAAGTGCTTCACGCTGGTAGAACGAACACTTTTTAGGGTTTAGCTTTAATCCCTTTTCCGCACAAATAGTCAATACTTTCTTTAGCAAGCCAAGCAGTCCCTCATCGCTGCTCTCATAACCCAAAAGATCATCAATCCAGATGAGCAAGACATTGTTAAACACTTCAGCAAACACATCTTGAACTGTTGACTGCACATACGCCACGCTATTCGTGCCACCCATAAGTACCCGAGTAGGGGTTATGACCCCTTCTTCTGTGAGAATGGAGTAAATTTCCTGACACTCCACTGCCATGGCAAACTGCCAAAATCCCTTAAAAAAGTCTAGCGAGAAGTATCGTGATGATCCACGAAGTCGGTCGAAAATTACTTCCAACATCGGCATTGGCCACACGATTTGTTCCACACATTCGTAAGGTCCTCTAACATCGACTGTCGACGGCTTCCAGCTTCAGGCTTGTTTACAATACGTGGAGGCGAACACCAGCGGCTGCGTGGGTTTCTGTAGCATAACCCAGCTGATATTAGAGCGTCAATGTGTGTCTTAAGAAATTCACGGTGCGTCTGAGAGTACCTTCTCGCTCGGCACCGCGCTGGCACGGCGCCAGGCTTGAGTGTCACCGCCATCGGTGGCATATCCACAGGTTTATCGCTTCCAATAATCAAGCGAAAGACGTCCATAAGCTCCATCAGTATGGCCTTCAATTCTTCAACGAATTCAAGTGACGCTCCAAGACGCCGAGCTTCCTCGGCTTTCTCTAGTAATATGTTTTTAATTAACTCGCGCTCTGTATCCATATCATCAGTAAAAGTAGGAAACAGATCTGATCTTCATCTTCCTGCAAATTCAATTCTTTCTCTGCAGGTTCGACATGGTTCTGTCCTGAGTAAGCTAAAACACTCGCCATTCCACGCGTTGTTTCTTCAGTCACATCACTCATATCCCAAACGGACTGTATCTGCTGCGCTACAGCCAGTAACTTGTCGGAACTATACCCCAATCACACCATAATCAAACGAGATAGCAGTAAATCTCTCACTCCAGGCGGAAGTGGTTGATCGGTCACCCGACAGATTACATTCCCTAGAACGAGAGGTCCACCCGGGTTGAAAAACGTAGATCCAGTTTTACTTTGCTAGCTACTGGCACAGGTCTGCCCCGATACCCGTAACTGCTGCTTTTCCAGGTAAGTCTTGCTGAGCAATCCAAGCCCCACTCACCGACAACCGCTTCAGTAGCTTAGTTGTCACCACAGAAACTTCGGCAGCACTGTCGGGCGTAATCTCGGTCTCTACAGTACCCATAACGATACAGCAGGTGATGCGGTAGTATTAACTTTACCTGCTGGAATCGCTGCCAATACAGGTTTCACGACTCGCTTGCCTATAGTCTTTTCATATGACTCTTTGGCCTCGGCAGGACCCGAAATATTGGGACACTGGAACACACCATGAGCTAACTCACCACATTTGAAGCACTTCTTGTTCGGTTTTCCACTAGTACCCGATAGTTCTTGCTTCCTTTTTGGCTGGTCCGCGCGTCTCACAGTTTGTATGCTGGAGTTGGAACGAGTTTTGGTTGCACTGTTTTGCCATCCTCGATTTTTCTTCGATTTGTCAAAAGATTTCTGCTCTTTCTCTGATTTTGCTGCACTTCTCTCTTGTGAAACGTTCGCGATGTGCGCTTCAAACTGCATAAAACTTTCTAAGTCTTTACGAACCCATTTCAAAAACAATTGGATGTTTGATTTGGTCGTCTTGTGGCCTTGACGTCCGAGCTGATCTTTAGCAGACGCCTTGTACGCTGGAGGCTTTAGTGCTTCGACTCAATATCCTACTACCTTCTTGGGCTCGGCTTGTACCATATCATTCATGTTAGCTTATCCTCAATCTCGTAGAAGTCCGCCATAAGACGGGACAGTCGTGACTCAGCGTCTTGTAGATTCGTGTCCATGCATAGGTTCTACCTCGCGATTCAATGTTTTGTAGGCTGTGTTGTCTGGATCCTTGCCGACAAAAAATAATCTCGCCATTCCGACTTCGTCACACCCTTTTCTTCTTTAAACTGCTCGAATTGACAAATTCGTACCATCGTGCCTTGCGCAATACATGCACTTAAAGGCATTACAAAAACGCTTGTTTGAGAACCTTGATTTAACGCCTGAATCCGTCTGGAATAAATAGCGTAACTATCCATGAAGTCACGTTTCTCTTTCTTCGAGCTGCCTCGGTAAATGGGAGGAACCGGCAGATTTGTTCCTGCTGCCACGGTGACAGAAGGTACTTCCGGTGGTCGTTGGTCCACTATAGGTGCAGCGCCCTGAGCAAAAGCTCCACAACGTGCCTGCAGATGTGGTTACACGGCTTCAGCCAGGCTCTCGAGGCGCTGTCCTTGCAATCCAACTGCTTCCTCAGCAGCACGGAGCAAACGGTATTGCTCGTCCAGGTACTGCCGGTGTTCGTCCATCTGACGCTTCATCTCCTTTTGTTGCTCTAACAGCTCCGACTGTCGGTCGTGTTGGGCCTGGAGATACTCCGATGTCTGCGCCGCAAGTCGGTCCTGCTGGCGCTGGACATGGCCAAGCTGCTCCGCGGTCTGCTGCTGCACCGCGGCCGAATGATGAGCTAGAGCTTCCACTAGGCGACTTGTCCTTGATTCGCCACTTTGTATCACCGCTGTCCTTGTAGGCGTCTCCTCCAACCGTACGTCACGGTCCTAATAAGGAGGGAGCGGCGGGTACACTGCCACAGGCATTCCGCCGGCAGAATGTGGCACCATTGCCTCGTCGGCGTCTTCCATGCTGAGCGCGACCGGACATGGCCAAGCTGCTCCGCGGTCTGCTGCTGCACCGCGGCCGAATGATGAGCTAGAGCTTCCACTAGGCGACTTGTCCTTGATTCACCACTTTGTATCACCGCTGTCCTTGTAGGCGTCTCCTCCAACCGTACGTCACGGTCCTAATAAGGAGGGAGCGGCGGGTACACTGCCACAGGCATTCCGCCGGCAGAATGTTGCACCATTGCCTCGTCGGCGTCTTCCATGCTGAGCGCGACCCCCAGCTAAAGTATTCTTTGATCGGTGTCGCCGTCAAACTAAAAGTGGAAGTGAGTTCGTTTCTCTGTTGTTAGAAAAGAACTAAAAATATGCAAACTGCGGGGTTGGTCGGTGGTTACACAACCTCTTCGTTCGAGGTATAAACACCGACCATAAGTGCTGTAGTTGCTGGGCACCATCCCAGCAACTTACGGTACTTGTAGCAACGGCTACAACAGCTTTAATGATTAGCGCAATTCGTCTTCAAATCCCATTCTAAATGAAGACACTTTGGAGCGATTTATGGTCGGTCTCTGGCCAACCTTAAGCTCGATTATCTCGATAACTCTCAATTGTTCGTAAGTATCATTTTGTTTGACGTAATTCTTGTTCTCCTCAAGCCGCGATAGTACCCGATCCAAAGCTGTTAAATGCCTTTTCAAGTCTCTCTCCTCGGTAAATATGTAGATGTCGCTATAATACAAGAAGACAGAATTAGCCAGGTTCTTAACTCCAACACCTTGACATTAAAGGACAGAAAATCGGACCAAAAGTTATCGCTTGGGCTTGGTAGCAATACCATCAATAACACTTCTATGGACATAAAGCCCTTTACAACTTCTATCCACGGTATGCTCATCATGATGTCTACCGTTGTCCAACAGGGCGAAAATAAACACTCAAGTGTGTCACTAATAACAAGTCATTTCCGTGTTTTGTCCTTTATTATAGAGCAAACATCACAGTTTAACTTGAGCTCAGTAAGTGGATACTCACAAACGAAGGCTCCATAGTAGCTCTATTTGAAGGGAAACCTGTTATAACATTCATTTCTCACGCGCAGCACCCTACTTACAAACCCTAACTCATTTTTTGTCCTTTTCGCTGATTCTTCGACAAAATCAGACAAGCTCCGTCGTACTTAAACAAATTATGTTTTTTTTCTAGGAAAAAAAAGTTGGAGTTAAGTAACCTTCGGATTCGATCATAAAAGGTTACAGGGGCATTGGATAGGCCCCTCGGAATCACCAAATGCTCAAATGAGCCCTCGGCAGTTTGAAGCACAGTGTACTTAATGTCAGAGTCACACATGCGAAATAGATAGTAGCCACTCAGCAAATCCATGCAGCTATTCCAGTACGAGCTCAGCATTTTCTCGAAAATCGTATCTTTCCAGTCTTCTTACTGTGTCATCGTTCAATTGCGCCATAATCGTGCATAATTATACCGGTTTTCTTACACAAAATATGAGCGCGAAACTTGTTTGCTGGTTATGTACTTCGTTTCTCCACTAATAGCCGAGAAAAAAACATGTCAACAATACTTGCTACTTGAGCGTGATGTAGTGCCGTTGCCAGAACACCGTTGCCCTTGGGCCTTTCGTGCAGGGCATGAAGGGATGTGCGTCGCTCTCGGTTTTTTTTTCTTTGTTTTTCACTTTGGTTGAGTCCAACGAGAGCAGTTGTTGTAATTTCACGGTCTCTTCAATCATGTTGGGGCTAATCTTCATTAGCCCATGCATGTGAGGTTGAACAGAACTCGTAAGGACAGAAGCGTGAGTGCCGACAAGAAGCCACGCATTGCTCCAGACGAACAACAGCGCTGAAGAACAAGATCGGCACTTGTTGTGGAACAAGGGTCAGATGCTTTCAAGAGCTTCAAGAGGGTAAGTTCGAACAGCCGACTAGTTAGGAGTAAGAATACTACAGGGAGGTCACGTAGGAAGATTAAAAGTCCTGGACTTGAACAACAAACTAAGCCGTGCTCCAAAATCAATCAGCTGACAATTTATAAGCTAAACAATACGTAGTCTACCAACACGTGACAAGTCATACCTAGCAAATTATCCTGATTCTCAGATACCGGAAGCACTAAAACTTCTCCAACGTACGGCTCGAAAGAATCGATATACGAAAGCAATTTCACAACTCGTTTTCAACTTTTTTATCTCTTGTTTATTTGCCAACGCGATCGGCATATTAACGCCATGGTCCTTGACCTTGTCATCAATGTGACGACGGGTGAGAGCACGACGCAGAGGAACAGCGACGAGGGAATGCTCGCGTGGAGAGGAACGAAACGGAAGAGGGCAGCGAGAGTCCCATGATGGGGACTCGAAAGTAAGGTACATGAGGCCATTTATGTGCCTCGAAGAAGTTAAATTGCTAAGTGAGATTGAAATGGTTAGTTGTTTGTCGGCTACGAGGAAGTGCTTGTTAGCATTCCCTTGGTATCTTATGTAAGTATTTTCTTTTCACTTTACTAGATTCTAGATAGTCCCTGAGTCGAATCTTGAAGTAGCGTAGCGTAATAGTTAACCGCGGTTCATTTGAACCGGGTCATAATCTACATAGTGAATTCAAATGAAATAGAATGACTGTCATTGAAGTTCTATGCTTGGCAAAACTCGACTAAACATGGTGGTTGCCTTCCGGCCAAGCGTGTGTCTGCCTGGCCGCTCATTAGCAGCTTAAGGAGACAGCTGGTAGTCAGCAAAGACAAGTAGGAATACAATTGAAGAAAGTAAGACGCATTGATACCAACCTCATGGCCAACGCTGGCTAAACTTGGTGCGTCGCTACACCCTCCCGGACTTGACCTCTTGTTGACGTTTGTTGAAGTCGGAAGAGAAAGCCTTCCAATGCGACACATGACGAATGTCTTTTTCGCGCTCCCAGATTGCTTTGTGATCTGGCAATCCGTGCCATTTCACAAGCCATTCAGGTTTGCGTTTAAATTGACGCTTGTAAAGAATCTTCTTGATGATGTGCATCATTGCACCAGTGTCGGTCTCAATAATCAGTCTAGATGCCTTTAGGATAGGGCGAGTCTTAAACCGCGACGGGTTTCCAACGCAATGACTCAACATGTCCACATTGAACGTGGATTCTAGATGAATATGCTTCGAGGAAGATTCATCTTGGCCACATTTGGGTTGATCACTTTCACAATCTCGAATGGTCCATCTTGCGAGCAGCGAGTTTAGCTCGTTTCCCATCAATGTATTGGGTCACATGGGCGGATGGAATGCGACGAGTATCCAACACGACTAAGTATCCTTCCTCATACGTGATCGAGGATCGCTTCTTGTCATAATATTTCTTCTGACGTTTATGGGCTTGGAGAAGATGCGTCTTTGCCTAATAGAATGACTGTCATTGAAGTTCTATGCTTGGCAAAACTCGACTAAACATGGTGGTTGCCTTCCGGCCAAGCGTGTGTCTGCCTGGCCGCTCATTAGCAGCTTAAGGAGACAGCTGGTAGTCAGCAAAGACAAGTAGGAATACAATTGAAGAAAGTAAGACGCATTGATACCAACGTCATGGCCAACGCTGGCTAAACTTGGTGCGTCGCTACACCCTCCGGACTTGACCTCTTGTTGACGTTTGTTGAAGTCGGAAGAGAAAGCCTTCCAATGCGACACATGACGAATGTCTTTTTCGCGCTCCCAGATTGCTTTGTGATCTGGCAATCCGTGCCATTTCACAAGCCATTCAGGTTTGCGTTTAAATTGACGCTTGTAAAGAATCTTCTTGATGATGTGCATCATTGCACCAGTGTCGGTCTCAATAATCAGTCTAGATGCCTTTAGGATAGGACGAGTCTTAAAACGCGACGGGTTTCCAACGCAATGACTCAACATGTCCACATTGAACGTGGATTCTAGATGAATATGCTTCGAGGAAGATTCATCTTGGCCACATTTGGGTTGATCACTTTCACAATCTCGAATGGTCCATCTTGCGAGCAGCGAGTTTAGCTCGTTTCCCATCAATGTATTGGGTCACATGGGCGGATGGAATGCGACGAGTATCCAAAACGACTAAGTATCCTTCCTCATACGTGATCGAGGATCGCTTCTTGTCATAATATTTCTTCTGACGTTTATGGGCTTGGAGAAGATGCGTCTTTGCCTAATCAGTAATCTCTTGACGTTTGGCTTGGAACTGTTTCGCATTCCACGCTGAATTTGAGTCATGGTACTAGGATTGCTTAAAGGTTTCAACAGTTTCCGTTCTTTGCGTCCAGTATCAACTTCAACGGGCGGCATACCGGTA